GCATAGTGGCAGCAGAAACAGTTTCAAGCATAACAGTAATCATAAGGATAGCGCAGGACTAGGCAGTGTTTCCTTCTGTGGTTCACAGAGTCACTGAGACTGAACCAACTCAAGGGCACCTAACAACCACACAACATGACAAAGGGAGTGAAAGTTTTACACCTGATGATAACCAAATAACAGATAAAAATGGAAGACTACAACAATATTAAACATGACTAAAGTGCTAAGGAAAAACATAGACAAAGACCTAAAAGAAATAAGGAAACAATGCAAGAACACATTGAGATTCAAAAACAAGAATGGAATGTGGTAATCATCGGACAATATCATTAATAATATATGAAAGCAAAATTTTACTAAAGATAATTGAAAAATGTCTATTAACAGTATAGTTACAGGAAACTGCCAGAGGTTCAAGTTGGATTCATACGAGCAATGGAACAAGGGATATCATTGCTGGCATCAGATAGATCTTGGCTGAAAGTAGAGAATACAGAAAGATGTTTACCTGTGCTTTATTGACTACGCAAAAGCTTTTGACTGTGGGGGCTATGGCAAACTATGGACAACACTGGAGAGAGAATGGGTTTTCTGGAACACATAGTTGTGCTCACGAGGAATCTGGACATGTACCAAGAGGCAGTTGTTCAAACAGCATAAGGGGTCACTGAAAGGTTTAAAATTAGGAAAGGTGTGTGCCAGGGTTGTATTCTTTCATTATACTTATTCAGACTGTATGCTGAACAAATTCTCTGAGAAACTGGATTATATAAAGAAGAATATGCCTTCAAGATTTGAGGAAGACTCATTAATAACCTGCAACATGCAGATGATTCAACCTTGCTCACTGAAAGTGAAGAGGACTTAAAATACTTACTGGTAAAGATCAAAGACCACAGCCTTCAGTATGGGTTGCACCTCAATGTAAAGAAAACAAAAATCCTCACCACTGGGACTAATAAATAACACCATAATAAATGGAGAAAAGATTGAAGTTTGGTAACTTCAATCTTTTCTCCATTTGCTTCGTTCCACTATCAATACTCATGGAAACAGCAGTCAAGAGATCAAACACTGAATTGCATTAGGAAAATCTGTTGCACAAGTGAAAAAGTTGCACTTTTTAAAGTGTTCAAGAGCAGAGATGTCAATTCAAGGACTTAAGTGCACCTAACCCAAGCCACTGTATTTTTAATATCTTCATATGTATGTGAAAGTTGGATAATTCTTCTCCAGTTATGGTGCTGGAGAAGAATATTAAGAGTACCATGGACTGCTAGAAGAACAAGCAAATCTGTGTTAGAAATACAGGCAGAATGCTCCTTAAAAGCCAGAATTGTGAGACTTCATCTCTCATACTTCGGATGTATTATGAGGAGGGACCAGTCCTTAGAGAATGACATCATGCTTAGTAAAGTGGAAAGTAAGCAAAAAAGAGGAAGATCACCAATGAGAGGGACTGACTCAGTTGCAGCAGCCTGGGCTCAAATTTAACAACGATTATGAGGATGGCACAGGACAAGGCAGTGTTTCATTCAGCTGTGCTTAAGGTTGCTATGAGTTAGAACCAACTCGACAGCACCTAACCACAACTGCAAAAAGAGATAATGTACCTGAAAGGAACAATAACAAATATATATGTTGTTGTTGTTGCTAAGTGCCGTTGAGTTGGTTCTGACCCATAGTGATCTTGTATAGGGTTTCCTTGTGGTTCAAACAACCTTGTGATCCAGTGCTTATCCTACAATGCCACACCAGGACTCCATGTATACGCATATAGTCCTGTGTGGTGCTTTATATGAGAGAGAGCCCTGGTGTGGGTTAATGCACCAGACTTGGAGGTTCAAGCTCACCAGCTGCTCCTCAAAAACCCTATACAGGGTCGCTATGGGTCGGAATCGACTCGACAGCACTTAACAACATATATATATATAGGTGTGTTTCTTTTATATATATATATAGAAACACACCTTAAACAGATGGACACATACAGATTGAAAGTGACAGGATAGAAAAAAATAGTCCATGCAAATAATAACCAAAAAGACAGCTGGGACGCCAATCTTCTTAATATAAGATGAAGACAAAATCTGTTAGCAGTGATAAAGATGGATATTATATAGTGATGAAAGAGTCAATTAATCAAGAAGATTTAATCATCATATATATATATACACCTATACCAAACAACAGGTCACCTAAATATCTAAGTGTAAGTCAGAAAGTATTGTTACTAGGGTTCCAATTTATACATGCTTGGGTTTATTACAAACAAAACATGTTTAGACATGTCTCAGTAATCAGTGAGTGATGGCAGACAAGTTTTCTCAGTCATACACTTGTCTAAGTCTCCTCTAATTATTGTTAAATGCCCTCGAGTTGGTTCCAATCACAGCAACCCTGTATAGGATTTCCAAGGAGCAGCTAGAAGGTTTGAACCATCAGCCTAGTGATTAGCAGTCCAGTGCTTATCCTACAGTGCCATATCAGGACTCCTTAGGATGCCTTCAAAATTTAAAAAAAAAAAAAAAAAGTCCAATCAAAATAGTGGTTTCTGAGGGGATCTGCAGAGAGGTTAGGTCAAAGTTATGGTGATTGTTGTTTGGGGATCCCAAAGAAATAATAAAAGACCTCTTTAAAGTGTTGAAGAGCAAAGATGTTAGGTTGAGGACTAAAGTGCACCTGACCCAAGCCATGGTATTTTCAATAACCTTATATGCATGTGGAAGTTGGATAGTGAATAAAGAAGACCACAGAAGAATTGATGCATTTGCGTTATAGTGTTGGAGAATATTGAAAGTACCATGGACTGCCAAAAGAAGAAATAGATCTATGTTGGAAGAAGTAAAGCCAGAGTACTCCTTGGAAGCCAGGATGGCCAAACTTAATCTCTCATACTAAGGACATATTGTCAGGAGGGACCAGTCACTGAAGAAGGATATCCTGTTTGGTAAGGTGGAGGGTCAGAGAAAAAGAGGAAGACCCCCAATGAGATGGACTGGCACAGTTGCTTCATTGATGGTCTCAAACATAGCAATAATTGTGAGGCTGACCCCGGCCCTGGGCAGTGTTTCATTCTGTTGTACACAGGGTTGCTCTGAGTCAGTACTGATTCAATGGCACCTAACAACAACAGCAAAGGGATGATCTTGACAGATTTTCTTAAAGGACATTGGCCAAAATCAAGAGATTTATTAGGAGAAGTTTTAAGAATATAGAAAACTTCGCTGGTGAGAAAAGGTCAGGAAAGTTGTGCCAAGAAATTTTTTTCCATCATGACAATGCACCTGTTCATTCTTTAATGTTAGCAAGGGCTATCCTATGAGAATTTGGTTGGGAAACCTTACCCTATGTATTCTAACACCCTAATCTTGCCCCTCTAGACTTTTTTTTTTTGTTCCCGACACTCAAAGATCATTGAAAAGGAACACTTTCTCCTGTGGAGTGACTACAAGATTCAAACTACTGACCATTTGAGCCCAGCTCATAATCCACTACACTGCTTTTTAGCAAATTTAGACCAAAGGAAATGAGGGACGTAAGTTAATACTAACTGTAAATGAAGAAGCAAGAGATTCACAATTAGAAGAAATCCCTCCAGGCTGGCGGAACAAATATGCAAGTAAATGAAGGGAAAGGATTACTCATGATGAGAGAATGTTCTCAGAATCACTTCTCTCCTGTGAAGCCTAGAAGAGTTCCTCCAGCAAGCTCTGACTGCCATGGCTCTGAATTCCAGCTCCTTCGTTCAATTCCTCACCCACAGAAAGCTCCAGTATGACCACTGTGTGTCAGGCACTGTCTTACACTTAGTAAACCAGAAGAACAAGCCCTGTCCTGTGAAGCTTGCATTCCAAAGAACAGTAATGAAGACAAGAGGAAGACCAAACTAGCACATCTGAGGAACGGTAAGGAGGCCAGCAAAACAGGGAGGAGGACTGGGAAGGGTAGGAATCTAAGGTAGAAAGATGGACAACTTTGTTGTGACTTATTTGTTTTGCAATCTGTGTGCCAAATTAAGGGTAGGGATTGTACTGCAGCATTCACATGGGCATGCCCAGGACCTGAATTACATGTGGATGGATGAATGAATGGACAGACGGGTAACAATTGGGGGAATTAGGAAACTTATCCAAAGGAAAACTGAACTGCTAAGTGAGGTCTGTAACTTTCAACTGGTAACATACTGCCTTTAACCACCACCTGGAATGCCTTCACAAATAGTTTTTAATTTAATCAATATGCAGGGTATTGTCCAAGAAAATGTGTAGCTTCAATCTTATAATGGAAGACAACCAGTCTTATGCAAATGAAAAATATATATTCATATTCTAGACAACTTTGTTAAAATATATTCACTCCTCAAAATAAAAAAAACTTTTTTTTTTTTTTTTAATTTTATTTGGAAGAGTGAATATATTGAGGAGCGAATATATTTTGAGGAGCCAATATATGTTGGGTAAGTTATATATACTAGTAGCATATTTAATAAGCAGGCATTATCTTCTGTTCACTCAGCTTTAGGAGACAAACATGACATATTTTCTAGTTCATTAGAGGAGAAAACTCTAGAGAAAAAAGTTACTGCTTAATTTTGTGTGGTAATAATAACAGTCCCAGTTTAGACACAGAAAAGGAATTTTAATGCAAATAGCACATGGGTTATATGGGTTTTGCATATATGGGTGGCTGAGTGATATGTAAAAAATATAGTGATAGTTCATCAAAAAGGAAATTTAAAAAAAATAGCTTTAGACCAGAGCAAGTATTTTCTGTAAAGTGTCAGGTAGTAAATATTTTAGGCTTCATGGCTCACATAAAGTTTTTGTTGCATCATCTTCAATGCTATAACAAACAAAAAACCATTCTTAGATCATGGGCCACACAAAAGGGCCTGCTTACTGACCTTTGCTTTAGAAAACAGAGTTGGACCCTGCAGTGCTAGGCTCCTAAAAACTAATTCCAAGGGTGCATATCTCCATACTTTTCTGAATTACCTCTCTTAGTCTCTCCAGTTCATTCTGAAGGGCTTGCTTGGATATTTCTACTTCAATCATCTGCTGTCGGAGGGTTTCATTTTCATCTTCAGCTTTAGCACGTTTTTCCTCCACAGTTTCAAGTTCATGGTGCAATCTGACAGAGACATCTTTGGCTACCTGCATAGATCCACAGGGAAGGATCATTAGGATGAAGCGTTCTTCCTGCTGAAGATACGTTCCAACAACTTCAAAGAAAGAATAATTAAGTACAGAAGGTTTCTGGATTAAGAACAAATTCCATTCTTAAATATATCCTAAGTTGAATTTGTATGTAAATCAGCACAGTTCATAACTAACATCAGCTAGTGAGATGTTTGTCTTAGTTTACAGTAAATAATGTACTTTTCTATAAAATACACATGCAGATACACAAAAACATCTTTAACATAATAACACATAAATAATATTTTGTTATTATGAACCATTGTATGGACCTCAGATTTTTAATAAAATTGGCTTTATGGGGATAGATTCTTACAGAATGTACGTAAGTCAGACAATTGTGACCCAAAGGACTGCCTGTAATCAGGAACTATTTATTAAAGACACTGGCAATATTTAATAAACCCACTTTTAAAGGAGGAGGGTATTAATTCAAAACCTGAAATCTACATTATGAGGTAGAAAATGACTTTCATCTGAATTAAGACGCTACTTTGAATAGCTCCACCCTGTTGTAGATTATCACCAAGAATACTGTTTCTACCCAGTAGGACATGCTGTAAGTGATCAATTAAAAATTGTAATATAATAACAAACATTTCTATCCTCTTAAGGTTAATACCGGACCTAACCGCTTTAAAAAAAAAAAAAAAAAAGTTTTGTGTGTAAAAGTTTAATGCAGCCAAGTATTCAATTGTCTACTGTGGCTCTGGTATGGTAAAAATGCTTTAATGTTAGATGCAGTTGAACATTTTTACTTTCTAGCAACAAATGAGAAAAGAGACTTTGAAAGAAAAAATTTAAATCACCTTTAACTTGCATTGAATGACACTTTGTTAGTGATTTATAACTTTTATAAAATTACAAAGATTCTTTTCTTGTTATAATGGAAGGCTAAATGAGATTTCACAAGTACTTCTGTAATAAGGAGGGAGTTCTGAATAATTCACCTCTAGATAAATGATTTGATAATTGGATCATGAGAGAACGGTTTGAGGTCCAGAATTTCTTCACCTCATCCCAACGCTCACACTCATCTCCGACACTACCTCCCCATCAATTAAATACACTACACAACTTCCACTAAGGCTAACGAAATTTCATATTCTGAATCTTAAAAACTTAAATAACATAAAAATGTTAAGTGATTAAAGCAAATGTTAAATTTTGTTTTATTTTGATTAAAACAAATGTTGAAGATTTATTTTCAACCTTTAATAGTGGCCTTTAAACTATAAACTGGATTGATAACCAATAGATTTTCATTTTTAATGTTTCAGCTCTTTAAACAGTCATTATTAGTGTTAAGTGCCATCAAGTAGTTTCCAACTCCTAGTGACCCTGTATATGGTTCCCAAGGAGTGGCCAGTGGGCTTGAAATCATGACCTTGCATTGCAGTAAGCAACCCGGTGCTTATTCTACAGCACCACTATTTCTACGTAATTTTTCCCCCAATTGTCAGGTCTTACATTTTTTTCTATTAACTTCCTTTCGCTTTAAAATTACAGTTTATATTATCACAGACTTCAGTCTGGGGCTATCAACAGTCATATGACTCCACATTACCCTGTAAGTCACAGAGGAAGCAAAGTTTATGCTGAAATTTGCGGAGACCAATACAAACACTCAAAAGGAAATGAAAATGGCAAGGCAGTGGGTTGGCGAGTTAGGACCACATTTCTAGATGGCGGATCCCATTCATATACCTTTAAATCCTGCTCCAAACTCCGGATCAGCTCTCCATCCACCTCTCCATTCTGAGCCACCTTCAGGCTCTTCTGCTCTGCTTTCCTGAGACGGTATTGCAGAATTCGACAGTTTTTATTTGCACGATCCAGTTCTCGCCGAAGTTCCTGCAGCTGGTAAACATCTTCTTCTAAGTAACTGTCCCTCATCTCCTCCATTTCTGCACGGAGTTCATCCACCTCATCCTACACAAGTCAGACAGAAGAGATTTTTAAGTAAAGACCATCAAAAAGGTGGCGTTCCTTTCCCCCATCTCACTTCTCAAGCCCAAATACTACGTGCCGACACCCATACCCATCAGTTTAGGACCACATGTGTGACATAGCAGAGGAGTGTCTGCACACCATCACCAAATGGCTGTCCATGTCTTACAGATCCCAAAATTTAAAACCAGCCTGGAGTACTCACAGCAGCCTCTCAGAACTAATTCCACTCCTAATATTTCCTTGAAGAGCAAAGGGGTCAACTTGAGGACGAAGGTGCGCCTGACCCAAGTCATGGTATTATCATTAACCTCATACACAAGCAAAAGTTGGACAGTGACTAAGGAACATCGTAGAAGAATTGATGCATTTGAGTTATGGTGTTGGAGGAGAATATTGAAAGTACCATGGGCTGCCAAAAGAACAAACAGATCTGTGTTGGAAGAAGTACAGCCAGAGTAC